ATTGATATTTCTCCCGGCAATCTTGATTCCAGCTTGTGCTTCTTCCAGCCCAGCGTTTCTCATGATGTACTCTGCATATAAGTTAAATAAGCAGGGTGACAATATACAGCCTTGACGTACTCCTTTTCCTATTTGGAACCAGTCTGTTGTTCCATGTCCAGTTCTAACTGTTGCTTCCTGACCTGCATACAGGTTTCTCAAGAGGCAGGTCAGGTGTTCTGGTATTCCCATCTCTTTCAGAATGTTCCACAGTTTATTGTGATCCACGCAGTCGGAGGCTTTGGCGTAGTCAATAAAGCAGAAATAGATGTTTTTCTGGAACTCTCTTGCTTTTTCAATAATCCAGCGGATGTTGGCAATTTGATCTCTGGTTCCTCTGCCTTGTTTAAAACCAGCTTGAACATCTGGAAGTTCACAGTTCACGTATTGCTGAAGCCTGGCTTGGAGAATTTTGCATATATAAAATAAACAACAAGGTCTTACTGTATAGTATAGGAAACTATTCAGTGTCTTGTGATAAACTATAATGGAAAAGAATAACTTTTTAAATTTTCTGTATTTGCAAATAAGAAAGCTGATGTTCAAAATTAAATGACAGTCACTGCATTTGGGTGACATTATCTTAGTCATTGGAACTTGTCAAACATCTCAGGACATATCTGTGCTGCGTGCTATTCAAACAGCACTAAACTTGGCCCCAAGTTTAATTACACATGTCTCTGAACATGATCTCAAAGTCTAATACAAACTAAATTTCCAACCCAAGAGCCAGTTCTGCTTCTCTAAATGTCTGGGCTCATATTCTATTAATAAAATAGGTTTTTCAGGTCAAATGCTTCCCAGAAACCTAAATCATAGAATGGGGATGGGGAATTTGAAGATCTGCAGTTATGTCTTGGCTTTATTACAGATTCAAATGGCTGCCTTTCATTAGTCAAATTTTGAGATATTTGTTCCCTCAAATATAAAATGAGAACTGTTTGCTTTCTTATTTCCAGGGTAGTATATGAAACATGCACAACTCACAGATCTGAGGGAAGAGTTTACACAGTCAGATACTGGTATCCAGTACTACTTGACCACCCATCTCATGTCATGATAAATCATAAAATGTCTATCTTATTTTCTTCCTTTCATATCTGCTTTTCCTCTTTACTCCCATTAGTAGTAGGTTAGTTCCTAATCAGATAAGTGTAAATCAATTTGAGTGTGAAGAAAGTTATCAAAACAGTACCATTATATAGTAAAGAACTGTTAAGTGCAAGTAATGGTTAATTTTGTGTGTCAATTTGACTGGAACATGGGTTTACCCAGGTATTTGGTTACCATTATTCTGGGTGTTTCTGTGAGCGTGTTTTGGGATGAGATTAACACTTACATTGGTAGATGCCATAAGGCAGATTGCTTTCTCTAATGTAGGTAGGGCTCATCCAGTCAGTTGAAGGCCTGAACAGAAGAAAAGATTGACGCCCCATCCTGAGTAGCAGAGAATTCTCCTGACGGCCTCTGAACAGGAACATCAGCTCTTCCAGTCTGGGGACTTGAACTGGGGCATCAGCTCCACAGGTTCAGGCTGGCCAGCCTCCATAATCACACGAGACAAATTCTTATAATAAATCCCTTTACATATATACACACACATATTCATATACATACATACATACATATCTGTATCTTATTACTTCTATCTCCCTGGAGAAACCTAAAGCAAAACAATACCATTATTATACTAAAACTGCAGATAAAACTGAACAGAATTCAGATTACGCTTGAAAGCCAAAGAGAGGGCAGGGTTTTTCTAACAACAACAAAGATCATGCGTAGATATATTCTCAAGTCAAAAATACATGTAGAGTTCTTTCCAATGCACATTTTCGACTGGCTTTCTACCTATTCCAATTTGCAGCAGGGGGGTATTTGCCTTTAATAAATGAGTCATGTACACAGCTGGGGCCTCTTCCTATACATAGTGAACCAAGGGGGTGAAGGAGAAAAGGGCACTTAAGTTTATTTCCTTGAGCAATCTAATCACTGGATTGTACAGAATATCTATCATGGAAATTTTTATATCTGCTAACCTTGGCCACTGCCTACAAAAGTATAAAAGGCAGGAAGAGCCTTCTGTTAGATGGGACAGTGTTCTGAGGACAGAATACAGACCAGCTAAGGAAAAGAGTTAAATCTGGAGATAAGGGAGAAAATGAAGAACTCAATAGTCCTCAGCTATTGCTAAGTGAGTTAGAGAAATCATCTCAGAGCAACCCTGGCTCATGATATAGCACAGAAGAGCACACCATCACTTGCTGCTGAGGGGCCTTCCGTGACCTGTGGTTCCTTTCCCAGCTTGTTTGATCACTCAGCTATTCTGTTCAAAATAGCAAGCCAGGGCAGTCACAGCCTCACAGCTCTGTTCTCAGCCCTTCCTCATATCTCTTAGACCACTCTGCAGGGAATGCTTATGTTTTCTTCTTGGCCACAGACTAGCTGGATAAGTGAAGGGGAGTCTTGTCTCAAATATGGAAATTTCTCTAGGGAAGGGCTACAATGATATCCATGTTCCAAACAGTTTTACCCAAGAGGTAGCATCCAAATGATAAGATCTAATTATTTTTAATATAATCACATTTCTGATCATGCAAATATTTTTTCTTCCTTATCTTTTTCTTTCTCTTTTCTTTACAGATAGGGATATGGAGAGGAATTCTATTTCACTTTCTTCTTAATTGGTTTCAGGGCCATAATGTTCACCAGCTGGGAGAGAAAATCCAGAAGGGCTGGTAGGCCAGCCTCTAGCAATGCTTGAAAAGGCAGAAATATCCTGAGTCAGCAAGTGGGAAAAGAAAACATATTCAATTTTTTTTTTAAATGGTCACATTTCCAAGCAGTATTTGAGAAGTTACATCACTGAATTGGAACAAGGCAACTGGTACTAGTAAATTAACAGATGAACAGAATAACACTTACCTTCATTTTAAAGAAGGTATTTTAAAAAGTCTCCATTTCCAGAATACTCTTATCAGTATAAAATAACACTTTAACAAACTCATATTGAAGGTCAGTAACTACCATGAATACAACACTTATTTCCCATTTATTTGTGATTGTGCAGGGGTTCAAATCAGTGAATAAAAATCAATTTTCTTTTCACAGAGAACTTGTTCTTCCACTATTACTTTCAGAATCATTGTAATAAAAACTCTATCTGGAATGGGAAATACAAAAGAGAACTTGAAGGTCTAAAAAGACTGTGCAAAATTTATAACAACTGGAATTAAAAACAAACCACCAAAGGCTCTGATATCTGGCTTCTGATTTCTTAGCAGAGTGGTTTTCAGTCTGCACGCGTGCGTGCTAAGTCACTTCAGTCATGTCAGACTGTGCAACCCTATGGACTGTAGCCCATCAGGTTCCTCGTCCATGAGATTCTCTAGGCAAGAATACTGGAGTGGGTTGTCATTTTCTCCTCTAGGGGTTCTTCCTGACCCAGGGATCCAAACCTCATCTCTTATGTCTAGTGCACTGGCAGGCGGGTTCTTTACCTCTAGTGCCACCTGGGAAGCCCCAGTCTGGTGTGTGTCAAAATCACCTAGAGAACTAATGGAGCCTACAGAAGCCCAGGAACATTCATTGGGAAGGCCTGGATCTCTGCATTTTTACCACATTCTCCAGCTGTGGTTTCCAAACTGGCCTGATCAGAATTGCCTGGGAAATTTTGAAAATAACAACAATGAATCCCCAGGTTTCACTCCTGGACATTTTGATTTAGTAGGTCAGATTGGGAAACTGATCTTAAAACATTTTATTTTAAAATCTTTAAACAAACTTTCCAGGTGGTTTTGATCAGATGTGGGGACCACAGACTTAGAACACTTATTTAGCTAAATGTCTCTCACAGAGCTCTAAGTCTGAGCTCACTAAGAATATTCATAACTCTAGGTAGGTTATAAATCACCATCCTGTGAGAATTTAACAAATTAGACTGTCTAGAAGTGATTGGATACTAAAAACTCTACCCAATTTAGCACTTAAATTACCTAATGATTTTCTGTCTGTCTACTTTCCACCTCTAGGCAAAGTTCTATACATAATATTTATTTCCTATGGCTGTTAAGTGCTAGCCACAAAAGTGTTCATAAGCAAGTTGCCCCACAGGATTTTGTTCTGTTAACCTCTCCCTCTTTTTCCACTCAGACTCCCAGAGCTTTGAGGAACAGACCTATTTTAGGGCACCATAGCCAACTGATGTCACTTGCAGCATTATGCAGCAAGACATCAACCCAGAAACCTGCAAACCTGGTCCCCAGCCCACTGGGAAAAAGACACTAGAAAACATTAATGAGAATCAATTTCTTTGGAGAAAGAAATGCTCTCACCAAAGAGTTCATTTAAAAGCTTGGCTATTTTTAGAGCCAAGACAAGAGAAAGCTAATACAACTTTAGAATCTTAAAAAAAAAACACAGTGACTTTCCGTTTAGGGCCTCCAGTAGCCCTAAACCCATATTATCTGGCCCCACTCCTCCTGCATCTCGGAATCAGATGTTTAATTCGAAGGCAAAACAGAAAGAATCTGAAAGCAATGGCCAACAAGGAATTTGGGAAATGAGCTTTGATCTCACTTTCCTTGTAACTTAAGTCCTATCAGACTGGGATATCAATATACATTGAATGGAAAAATACACTCAAAGCAGGTGAGAATTATGCTTCTTGAAACACAGATGCTAATTTCTAATCCTTCCCACAAAATCAATCCCAGATCACAAACTGAGGGATGAGATGATCTTGTTTGGACAGAAGACACTGACTGGTCTCTCTAAGCCAGCAGCAAGCAAGAGGCAGAAATGCCGATGGGTCCCACGCATCTCTTCTTAGTGATGATGGCTCTCCTTACCAGACAGTCACCAGCAGACAGGTCAAATGTACTTAGTAAAACTGTTAGGTGGGCAACCAAAGGGAAGAGAAAGACCTCCTGGAGCTGAGAGGGAAAACAAGCCAAATGCTACTAGCAGCAGGCCCAGCTGGAGGAGGGCTTGGTTTGCAGGTTGATGTAGTTCCCCTGAGTGGACAAAGACATATCTTCTCTGGAATTGCTCATCATCTTTTCAATGAGGACTCTAAAAATCAAATAAAAAATAAGCCTGAGAAACTGAATGGAAAAAGGGCAGATATTGTCTGTTTCGTCACCAGATGGCATTCAGTAAAGCCACAAGGTTTAAATGCCTCATTGTCCCCAGTTATCTCAGGAGAGAAGAGAGTATCCCTGGCCTTTAGAAGCTGGCATTCCATTGGCTCAGTCTGTTCTTGTTTGTTCAGAAACAAGAAGGTCCAAGATGCTGCAGTGAAAGATGGGTAAACCTGTATGCCTGTCCCTAGAACAGCATAAGCTACTCACCTCATGGCCTCATTAATATTTTTGTTCTCCTTGACCGAGGTTTCTGTCCAACCTGTGAAACCATTCTCTTTACTGAACCGGTCAACCTGGTCTCGGCTCACTGCCCAGGGGGATAGATCACACTGGCAAAGAAAAGGCAACACCATAAACCTCCTAGGAATAGGAACATTGCTCAGATACATGTGGATTTGAAATAGTTCCCCCCATGGTTAGAACAGCAGCATCAGAAATCTACAGTCAACGTTCTTCTCAAAGAAAGTTTCAGCATCTCTTGAAAAGAGGTAGAGAAGATTTTGCCAGCATGAGAAGGGCAAGTGGAAACCTAGAATCAGAGTGCATTTTAGATTCACTTACTCTCTGACCACAGACTGAAGCCAGGGGCTGTTTCCCAAGCTGACCACATACCTTGTTGGCTAAGAGCAGGCAGGGCACCGGCTCTCCATTGGGCAGTGTGAGCTTGCTGTCCAAGTCTTGCTTCCATTTCTGGCTGTTTCTGAAGGTAGTGGCATTGGTAACATCAAACATAATAACACAGGCAGAGGCATCCCGATAGTAAAGTCGGGTCATAGAGGTGAAGCGCTCCTGCCCTGGGAAGTAAGACAGTTCTTGAGAAGGTGATCCTCAGAACCAGCTTGGGGACCCTGTCTGACACCCTGCCCTTTCCATCTTCATTAAGGGAAAGAGGGCAGTATGAGGAGTGGGTGAGTCCAGATTCTGTACCCAGATCATCCACTTCCAAATTCCTGCTCTGTCATCTACTACCTATATGACTTTGGATAAGTCAAGGTTTCAGTGCTTCAGATTGCTCCTCTGTAAAGTGGGGGAAAGCAGTGGCTTTTTACTATAGGCTAGTTGTAAAGATCAATGAGTCAGTGAATCTAAAATGCTTAGAAAAGTGATTAGCAAATAATAAATAAGGGTTGTTGTTGTTCAGCCACTCAGTTGTGTTCAACTCTCTGTGACCCCATGGACTGCAGCATGCCAGGATTCCCTGTCCTTCACTATCTCCCAGAGTTTGCTCAAACTCATGTCCATTGACTCTGTGATGCCATCCAACCATCTCATCCTCTGTTGTCCCCTTCTCTTTCTGACTTCAATCTTTCCCAGCATCAGGGTCTTTTCCAGTCAGTCCACTCTTCATATCAGATGGACAAAAGTATTGGAGCTTCAGCATCAGTCCTTCCAATGAATATTTAGGGTTGATTTCCTTTATGATTGACTGGTTTGATCTCCTTGCAGTCCAAGGGACTCTCAAGAGTCTTCCCCAGCACCACAATTTGAAAGCATCAGTTCTTCAGTGCTCAGCCTTCTTTATGGTCCAACTCTCACATCTGTACATGACTATTGGAAAAACCATAGCTTTGACTAGACAGACCTTTGTTGGCGAAGTGATGTCTCTGCTTTTTAATACACTGTCTAGCTATTATTATTGTCTTTTCTTGTTTCTCACCAAGGTCAGCTGGAAACCTTAGAAAGAGCACCCTCTGCCTGATGTGGGAGCATCCACCTATGGTCTTCATAGTTCACTACCTCACCAGCCCCTTCCACTCACACAGAGACTGCTCTATATTTATTCAGGGTAAAACATTTACAGAACACATCTACAAAAGTTCTACATCTATTCAGCTTACATGTCCTCAGAGTAGTCTGATCATTCCAGCTTCAGAAAAAAACTTTTGGTTCTACTTTTTCTCTGAAAGCTTGTTGGTTAAACCAAAATATCTCCCCTTGTTCTTGTCCCATCTTCCCATCCTACCTGCAATATCCCACAGCTGGAGGCGCACCATCTCTGAGTCAGACCACTGGAGAACCTTCAGAGCAAAGTCCACTGAAAATATATGTATAATGTACTTGAATAAAGTTTACCTTTAAAAAGTCCACAAAGTCATATCAAATATGCATATACAACCCTAGGGACACACAACTCCAATCACATTCATTCATTCATTGTTTGTTTATTTGGTTATTTTAAGCCCTCAATGGACCACACCCATGTACTAAATATGGGACATATAATTCACATGCATCTTCTGAAGGCATCTCTGGCTTTTACTCTTGTCAACCAATTATTTGATCCTACTAATATTGCCTTATCTCTTTTCAGACAGTTGGCTCAGGCTGAGAAAACTCAATTGGAGAATATTAGGTGAGAGTAACTACAAAAACAACTCCTTATCTCAGGTTAAACAATTTTGGGAAGATTTAGGGGGCTTACTCAGGGAAGGGATGATGAGGTAGAAGAGGGAAATGAGGTAAGTGTGTTGGCCTTTGCATCTTCCACACTCAGTTTCACTGTTGGTTTCTTATCCAGTTGTATTATGAGAAAATCACACCCTTGGGGGGAATTCTACATCTTTCATAAGGCTGTAGGAATTATCCTGGGCAGGAATGAGATAAAGTGAAAAGGTCCCAGAGGATTCACCCCATGGTTGATGCTTAAGAGCTGTGCTGGAAACTACTGTCACATCTGTAGATGCTGAGACTCTGTGAGTTAAGGCCAAGGGGGAAGAGCTTTTGACAAAGACAGAAACAGGATAATTTCTGATGTTTGGAAATATATTTCTTCACATCTATGACAGAAATGAAAGCTAGGGGAAATTTAGAATAAACACTGAAAAAAACAGCCAGTCAATTATATTCTTTACTATAGAAAAACTAGAGCAATTGCTAAAAATCAGTGGGATACTTTTAAACCAAATCCATGAATTAGGGGCCCTCATGCTACTTTTTTTTCTTTTAATTTGTTTGAAACTTAAAACCCTTCATTTTGATGGATGTTCTTAAGGAAGATGTCTTAGTTGCAATGTAATTGCATGTTAATTTTTAAAAATTCCGTAATGAACACTAGTGTACATTTTCAAAATTTGTATTACAAAAGTTCTTTTAATGGAGATAAATAAATGTTTGTTACTTTCCCTCTTCACCAGCTCTCCCCAGCTAAACTTTTAATTAAAAGGCATTCTTCTACTTCTGGAAAGATGAGTCCAAAGGTCACACCTGGAAAGAAGTGAATTAACCCCTGGTGTCCCCTTTGTCCTTTGCCTCCCCAGTTTGAGAGAAAAAGGGGTGGGAAAATAGGTCAGAAAAGTGGTATATTTTACACTAGGAATAGGTTGTCTTTATTTAAACAATCAATGGACAAAAAACACACAGCTCATCAGTATCTGACTGAGTGTCCAAGGGGCTCGCCCAGGCAGGCATCTCCATAACAAAGCCAGGCTCCTTGAGGCCAGGTTCCTTGAGTTCCTTGTTCCTTCAACAGCTGTCTGTAACTCTCGTGAAAGGTAGCCCCAGCTGGTACCTAACTAGGTTCTCCAGAAGGTCTCAGCGGCGTCCGCTTGTCGCAGAGATTTGCCGGTGACCGCTAGGAAGGCTGGAGACTTGAGTTCACAGTTCCCCAGCGAAACGCAGCAACTGCTCATTTGCTCACCCACCCTTCCCCATTTCCTACCGTCACATCTTTGCCTTTCTCTCTCGAGACAGTCAGCTCTGACTGGGAAAACTTAACTGGAAAACCCCCCGAGAGGCATGCACATCAAACACCAGGGTCCCAGACAGCTCCTTCCTAGCCCGGGGGAGGACCTAAAGACCGCAAAACTCCCGGCCCCCAGCCCACTCCAGTCCGCGGCTGGAGTCGCAGGACCCCGGCCGCTCCCCGCAGCGTCTCACCTCCCACCGTGGACTTGTAGTGTTTGCTGAAGCTGTCCTGGGAATATCGCTGCACCAGGGACGTCTTGCCCACCGCGGCGTCCCCCACCACCAACACTTTGAACAGGTGGTCGCGGCTGCTCATGGCTAGCGGGATGGACGCTTTACGGAGGCGGGGAGTGGGGGGCTCGCTTATTTTCACCCTTTAGTCTCGGGACCCCCGCTCAAACTGAAGTGTGGCATACCCGCCCCACGGCCCGTTAGGGCGACTCTGAAGAGAAAGCAAAAAAAAAAAAAGACACAAAACAAAAAAGGAAACTTTGCGCTTAACTAGACGCGCTTCCTCCCCGCGCGGCCGCAGCCTGGGCGGGGCTCAGGCTCCGAGCCCACGGCTGTTACCTTCTTCCCCTGCCCGCCCGGCTGCCGAGAAAAGGGGCGAGGCACCACGATGCCTTACCCGACCGGACTTCCCCGGGGCTGCTCCGGCGGGCGACGGAACACGGCCAGCTTATTGCACCTCACCGTGGGGAGGAGATGGGAGCCATCCCCTAACCGCACAGAAAGAGAGGCGTGCGCCTAGCCGCCTCAGGTTGGCGCGGTCCCCTCGCCTGCCTCTGCGTGTCACGTGCAGCATCGCTTGGCGCACTACATTTCCCAGCGTACCTTGCGGCGAAAGCTACTTGACAAGCGCAGCGACTCGCCCGCATGGCTTCCTGGGAGTGTAGTTTATGTACTATTAAAAAACAAACCAACCAACCTACATTTAGTTTCAAACTCCTTCAATGATTTGGAATTTTATTTTTAAATAATTCTGGAATAGGAAATGTCCTTCAGTAAGCGGTTTGTCCGACATGATCTAACCTTCCTAAATCTGTCACCACATACATTTCTCATCTTTAATAAAAGTTTCATGGACCCAAGATTAAAAAATTATTCCATAGATTCCATACATTATTTCGACTAATAAAAGCTAAAGCCTCATCCCTCATGCTTCAAGTCCATTTCCTGTTCTTCCAAATGGATAGATAGACATACCCACCCCAAAAGACCCCAAACCAGTCAAATTCAAGGACAGATTAAAAGACCGACACAGGAGACCACATGTCGTTAAACGTTAGTTATTGATGTTTGATAACTTGCTACTGCAGTAAAGACAGAAAACAACAGACGGCTCCTCATTCTCACTTGCACAATCTTCAGTCACACTACACCGCTCACATCATTTGAGTTGGAAGCTGACTGAAGTACACTGCCGGTCCTCCTCCATTTGTTTTTGCTGTTGCTCATGAATAATGATTAAACTACAGTTTTGCAAATACTTATAGTTTTTTAGCCTGTAACTTCTGACCTGCCTGCCCTTTAGGTAGGAGTTAAGTGGACATGAGCTTCATGGCAAACAAAATAAGCTCCGTTTTCTATGCTTTTCCCAGGAATAGAAGAGAAAGCAACAGGAAGATGGAAAAATCAGCCCTGCTCAGGTCTCTTGACCTTCTTAACCTTGAGGAGAGACCATCAGCATGGTTCACAATGTTTGTTACCCAGGTAAGGAAGGTCAGGCTAGGCTTCTCATCTGTTTGGGATGTTTTAGTTTCCTTCCCAGTGGTCTTTTCTCAATTCCCGTTGGCTTTGACATAGTTAACCATTTCTTGAAATTTGCTTCTCATGTGACTTAATGACACCGTTCTTTCTTGTTCAGCCTCCGTCTCTAATGATCACCTTATTTCACTGTTTCCTTTCATCCTGTCACTCTTTAAGTTTTTCTAAAGGCTTGATTCTTGGTCCCTGAGCTGATGATTCTTTGAACTTTTTACTTTGGTGAATTGCCCTTGGCTTCGCATTTTTCTTTGTCTAAGTTTTATTTATATCTTCATCTCTAATCAGTTTTGCTCAGCTGATATAAAGATACTTTTAGCTGGCTGTCCTGTCAGAGCCTCCCTCTCATTGCTTCACCTCAAAAACAACTATTTCTGTCACTGGCCTCATCATTTCTTCCTTCCACTCAGACCTGAAATTTTCTATTTTACTGTGGTAGGAACACTTAACATGAGACCTACCTCTGAAGTTTTTTTTTTTAAGTTTTAAAGTGTGCAGTCACAGCAATATAAAAGTTCAAATTTTAAGTGTGTAGTAGAGGTACAGTGTTGTACAACAGATCTCTAGAACTTATTCATCTTGCTTAAATGAATCTTATGCCTATTGATTGTTAACTGCCCATTTCTCCCTCCCTCCAGCCCTTAGTCACCACTCTTTAGTCCATTCTTTATTTCTATAAATTTAACTATTTTAGATACCTCATACAGGTGAAATCATGCACCAGTTTTTCTTTCTTGGATATTTCACTTAGCATAATTAATATCTTTAAGGTTCATCCATGTTGTCATGTATTGCAGAATTTCCTTCTTTTTAATGGCCAAATAATATTATATTGTATGCATATACAATTTTTAATTTTATTTTAAAATTTTTATTGGAGTAGAGATACTTTACATTGTTGTGTAGATCTCTATTGTACAGCAAATGAATCAGTTATGCATATATATGTATCTCCTCTTTTTTGTATTTCTTGCACATGTAGGTCACTACAGAATGTTCAGTAAAACTCCCTGTGCAATACAGAAGGTTCCCACTAGTTATCTATTTTACACATAGTATCAGTAGTGTATATATGTCAATCCCAATCTTCTAGTTCATCCATCTCACTTTGCCTCCTTGTTATCCATGCATTTGTTGTCTACATCTGTGTCTCTATTTCTGCTTCATAAATAAGATCATCTATACCAATTTTTTCAGGTTCCACATATATGTGTTAATATACAGTATTTGTTTTCCTCTGTCTGACTTACTTCACTCTGTATAACAGCCTATAATAAGTCCATCCACATCTATAAAAGTGACTCAGTTTCATTCCTTTTTATGGCTGGGTAATATTCCATTGTGTGTGTATGTACACACACACACATACACACACACATATGTATTCTTTGGCAATGCCAAAAAATGTTCAAACTACTGCACAGTTGCACTCATCCCACACACTAGCAAAGTAATGCTCAAAATTCTCCAAGCCAGGCTTCAACAGTACGTGAACCATGAAATTTCAGATGTTCAAGCTGGATTTAGAAAAGGCAGAGGAACCAGAGATCAAATTGCCAACATCTGTTGGATCTTTGAAAAAGCAAGAGAGTTCCCAAAAAGCATCTACTTCTGCTTTATTGACTATGCCAAAGCCTTTGACTGTGTGGATCACAACAAACTGTGGAAAATTCTAAAAGAGATGGGGTTATCAGACCACCTCACCTGCCTCCTGAGAAATCTGTATGCAGGTCAAGGAGCAGCAGTTAGAATTGGACATGGACCAACAGACTGGTCCCAAATTGGTAAAGGAGTACATCAAGGCTGTATATTGTCACCCTACTTATTTAACTTATATGCAGAGTACATCATGCAAAATTCTGGGCTGGATGAAGCACAGGCTGGAATCAAGATTTCTGGGAAAAATATCAATAATCTCAGATATGCAGATGACACCACCCTTATGTCAGAAAGTAGAAAAGAACTAAAGAGCCTCTTGATGAAAGTGAAATAAGAGAGTGAAAAGGTTGTCTGAAAAGTCAGCATTCAAAAAACTAAGATCATGGCATCTGGCCCCATCACTTATGGCAAATAGTTGGGGAAACAGTGTAAACAGTGACAGACTTTATTTTCCTGGGCTTCAAAATCACTGCAGATGGTAACTGCAGCCATGAAATTAAAAGATGCTTGCCCTTGGAAGAAAAGCTATGACCAACCTAGACAGCATATTAAAAAGCAAAGACATTACTTTGCCAACAAAGGTCCATCTAGTCAAAGCTATGGTTTTTCCAGTGGTCACGTATGGATGTTAGAGTTGGACTATAAGGAAAGCTGAGTGCCAGTGAACTGATGCTTTGAACTGTGGTGTTGGAGAAGACTCTTGAGAGTCCCTTGAACTGAAAGGAGATCCAACCAGTCAATCTTAAAGAAGATCAGTACTGAATATTCACTGGAAGGATTGATGCTGAAGCTGAAACTCCAATACTTTGGGCCACCTGATGGGAAGAACTAACTCATTGGAAAAGACCCTGATGCTGGGAAAGATTGAAGGCAGGAGGAGAAGAGGATGACAGAGGATAAGATGGTTGGGTGGCATCACTGACTCAATGGACATGAGTTTGAGCAAGATCCGGGAGTTGGTGATGGACAGGGAAGCCTGGCATGCTGCAGTCTATGAGGTTGCAAAGAGAGTCAGACACAACTGAGTTACTGAACTGAACTGACATATATATATAAATAAATAAATAAATAAATATATATATATATATATATATATATATATATATATAAAATTACGTCTTCTTTATCCACTTTTTGTTGATGGACATTCAGATTGCTTCCATGTCTTGGCTATTATAAATAGTGCTACAATGAACACTGGGGTGCATGTCTTTTTGAATTATGTTTTTCTCTGGGTATATGGCCAGTAGTGGGATTCCTGGGTCATGTGGTAGTTTTCAGTTTTTTAAGGAATGTCCAAACTGTCCTCCAGAGTGGCTCTATCAATTTACATTCCCACCATCAGTGCAAGAGGGTTCCTTTTTCTTCACACCTTCTCCAGTGATTTATTGTTTGTAGATTTTGTGATGATAGCCATTCCGACCAGTATGAAGTGATATCTCACCGTAGTTTTCATTTGCATTTCTCTAATCATTAGTGATGTTGAGCATTTTTTCATGTGTTTGTTGGCCATCTTTATGTTTTCTTTGGAGAAATGTCTATTTAGATCTTCTGGCCATTTTCTGATTGGTTTGTTTGTTTGTTTTGCTGTTGAGCTGCATGAGCTGCTTGTATATTTTGGAGATTGATCCTTTGTCAGTTACTTCATTTGTAAATATTTTCTCCCTTTCTGAGGGCTGTCTTTTCATCGTGTTTATGGTTTCCTTTGTTGTGCAAAAGCTTTTAAGTTTAATTAGGTCCCATTTGTTTATTTTTGTTTTCATTCTCATTACTCTAGGAGATGTGTCAAAAAAAGATCTTGCTGTAATTTATGTCAAAGAGTGTTCTGTCTATGTTTTCCTGTAAGAGTTTTAAAGAGTCTGGCCTTACATTTAGATCTTTAGTCCATTCTTA